TAATGGTCATAATAACATATATATATATATATATATATGGTCATGGTCATATATGAGTTTGTGGTTTAATGTCATTTTGGTTAGGGTTAGGGTTAGGGTTAGGATTATCAATTATCAATCATTAATCATTAATCATTAATCATTAATCATGAATGATATCAAAGTTGGGAACACTCCTAATGGAGGGTTAGCCTTTATGTTAGGGAGGGATGGTGCACAGCATCCATGAGTACTGTGGCAACTGGATCACGTAATGATGAGTTTAACTGGAATTTATCCTATTATGATAAAACTAACATCCATGTTTGTATTTGGCACCTTATTACGTTTATATTCTTGAGTTAAGTGCTATACATACACAATACAAAAAAAAATTGGAAGGGTCATGGTTGTCCATATTATTCTCGTCAGTGCAAACTGCAAACAAAGTATTTATTGGTAAGACCCGATTACGGTAACATTACTATGAAGTGTATTGTACCAGGCGTAAAATAATGCAATATACCTCCGATGTTATTTTATTTCTGAAATGATATGACAAAATAAATTACTTCACGAGTATTGAGTAAAAATTGCGTTTATTTCATAACTTGTAGCGGGAGCGAAGGGCTACACTCAAGATTTAAGATTAATCTAATTCCACTTAATTGGGTCGTTTCAGTAATAAAATGATGGTAAATAAACACGAATTGTATTTAATACCAAAGTATTAATTATTATGTATAGCATCTATCACGTAATAATTCAATGTAAACGCCGCACGCAACTGCACTAAACACGCAAAATATAGTAATATTTTGTTTTTACACAGTGCCAGTGGCATGCTAGACACAATAACGTAACTCAGCAGAGTAGGGTTAATTAAGGGTATAGGCAGAGTAGGGTTAATTAAGGGTGTAGGCAGAGTAGGGTTAATTAAGGGTGTAGGCAGAGTAGGGTTAATTAAGGGTATAGGCAGAGTAGGGTTAATTAAGGGGTGTAGGCAGAGTATAGGGTTAATTATAAGGATGTAGGCAGTAGGGTTAATAAGGGTGTAGGCAGAGTAGCGGTTAATTAAGTGTAAAAGGCATTATAGAGTTTAACTTAAGGGTTAGGCAAGCGTATACTGGGTTAATTATACGATGTAGGACAAAAGTAAGAAGATAGGGTAAATAAGGGTTAGGCATCAGAGTAGGGTCATAAGGGTGTAGGCAGAGTATAGGGTTAATTAAGGGTGTATGGGCAGAGTAACGTGGTTAATTAGGGTATAAGGCAGAGTAGGGTTATTTAAGGGTTGCAAGTATAGGTAAATTAAATAAGGATGTAGGCAGAGTAGAGTAGGGTTAATCAAGGGTGTAGGTATGCAGAGTAGGGTTAATTAAGGGTGTAGGCAGAGTATAGGGTTAATTATAAGGATGTAGGCAGAGTAGAGTAGGGTTAATCAAGGGTGTAGGCATGCAGAGTAGGGTCAATTAAGGGTGTAGGCAGAGTATAGGGTTAATTAAGGGTGTAGGCAGAGTAGGGTAATTAAGGGTGTAGGCAGAGATTAGGTTAATGTAAGGGTGTAGGCGAGTAGAGGTTAAATTAGGTGTAGGCCAGAGTAATAGGGTTAATTATAAGGTTAGCAGAGTAGGGTAATTAAGGGTATGGCAGAGTAGGTTAATTACGGATGTGGCTAGTAGTCTAGGTTAAAAAAAAAAAAAA